AAATATGCTGTGACTGACACAGGAATTAACTGATTTCCCTTCCCTCTGTGCTCCATGAGTGTGCTACTACTGCAAGTAAGAGTTCTAATGGTCTGATCCATTTGCACCACTGTTTGCAGCCATCCAACACCACCCAACAATCCTGCTCAAGTCTGCTGAGAGGAACCGACTTCCTCACCCATACTCTTAACTGCACATCTACTCTTGATCTGTGCCTGGACCTAGATATGCAAATATTAAGCATATAAGTTAATTAAATATGACATTTTGTTCAGAATGGTAGAAATCATATTCCTTGAATGACTTTTGGAGAAAAATACTGACATCAATTAAAAATAGTTTCTCTTTGCATGTATCTATAAAACACCTTTGAAACTCTTTAGGAACATGTCTGGATTTCTTTCAGTGTTGTGCATATGAATCCAGCTTAGCATTGTTTTCCATTAACTAATGGAAATTAGTTTTAAAACATTTAATACCTTTTTTAAATGGACTAAAAATGCTCCCAGTGCCAAAAGATATGTAGTTAATTTTCGTAGGTCACTATATTCTATTCAAATATTAAAATCCAATTTTATTCTGAGGTACCATACTTTTGAAAAAACATCTGTAGATGTGACCTATGCATAACCTTCTGGATTCTGGATGCCTCCTCATAGCTCTACCCTAAGGATATTTCAGAAACTTCAGTTATATAACTCCCTTCAGAAAGAAAGCTTTAACTTAAAGATACTGACTCCTGGGCTGCATTTTAAATTTTCTTTTCTTCAGAAAAGTTCAAACTTTCGGGACAGACTTTACACAAGTATGAGATTAAATTTCTCTCTTCTAAATCTGTACTTAGCAACCTTAGAGTGGGCTTGAGTTTTTAAGTGAACAATACCTCATCATTGCCTTATGAATCAGCTAGAGCTTACCCTGAGACCCAGCATCAATGCTGAGGATGCTTCAGTGTCACATATATATGGTGCATCCTAGAGGATTGTTTGGATAAACTTTGATTCTTTACTCATTTGTTTAGCACCTCTTGAATCTAGTAGATTTTGGATGAGAATGGTGCTAGCTTCCATGCTCTCCTTAGTGATTATCTGGAAGAATTACTGTGCAATTTGGTTGTTGAATTATTGCTTGCTACAATGCTCAATGCTAGAGGGAAGTACTATCATGCCCTTAGCACCCTCAGGGGAAAAGCAACAGTCAACTGCAGCTGTAGATACTTTCTAAGCACACAATTAGAACCATTAAGGTTTATTTCTTTACACATTCCCAAGGTCACTTTGTTTGGACATAGAATCACAAATCTCCTGAATCAGAAGGGACCCGTCTGTTGCAGACATCTTTTCATGAAAAATCCTTTCCTTAGGATTTTTTCTCCTGAGAAGCTGAGAGGCTTCAGGAACAAAATGTAAACAATGGTTATCTGCTGCTGTGGAATGCAACAGGTGCATCTGTGATTGGCCCATCTTGGATGTTGGCAATTAATGGCCAATCACAGCCCAGTTAGCTTGGACTCTCTGTCTGAGACACAAACCTTTATTATTCATTCCTTTCTATTCTTAGCTTAGCTAGCTTGTGAGATGAAACTTTTCTTTCTATTCTTTTTAGTATAGTTTTAATGTAATATATATAAGAAAATAATAAATCAAGCCTTCTGAAACATGGAGTCAACATTCTTGTCTCTTCCCTCACCTGAAAACCCCTGTGAACACCATCACACCCGTCAGAATCATCAAGTCCAACTCTTGCTCCTGGCACAGGATACCCCAAAGGTCACACCATGTGCCTGAGAGCATTGTCCAAACCCTTCTTGAACTCTGTCAGGCTGGTGCTGTGACCACTTCCCTGGGGAGGTTGTTCCAGTGCCCAACCACACTCTGGGTGAAGAACCTTTACAATATCCAACCTGTGGGTATTGTGGGCACCATACTTAAAGGCAGTGTCCTCTAAATCTACCCTGTGGTTGTGTTCAAGTTTTACATCAACACAGCCCACTTGTGTATACATGTACATGTATGTGTATGTACCACAAACACACAGATACGTTGTCCAACAGACACACAAGTATTTGCAAAAAAAAAAAAAAAAGAAAAAAAAAAGATCAATTGGTTTTGCTCTAATTCTGCTCAGTTGTCATACCTGATTTTTTAAAAATATCTCATTTATTATTGAAATAGTACAAGTAAGGGCAGGCCTGTTTTCATGAAACATGATGGCTGGTATTGAATTTTCAGTTCAGCCCAGACTATCTTAGATTGCTATTAATATTTTCAATATCATCATAGACATGGAAAATGTTTTAGAGAGAAACATGTAAATGCTGAAACATAACTAAAGGAATGGTAGGTGATACTGCATAGTAAAAACATCTTTGTTGAGGGCATCCTAAAAATTTGACTATGTAAAATGAGAAATTATTAAATTATGATTATTAATATGTAGTAAATTATGGAATCCATAAGGATAAATCATTTGAGAACATCTCCTTCCAACAACTGATGTTAAAACAAATAATTTTATACTTCTCCATGTGTTGTCATTGTGGTATAGGTAAGAACATGAATAGTTTGCATTGCAAAATGTTTTTTACCCTCTCTAGGCCATGCAAGGTATATTTTTATAATAGTAATCCCTTGCTATCTTTCTAGTACTGTTTGAAATAGTTAATAAACTCAAAATTAGAAGGACTACAAAAAAATTGAGATGATGAAAAGGCAAGGAAATCAGAACATATTCACTCGACGCTACTAGTGAAATGATAATTATGAGCATTAAAAGGAAATCAAAACAACATTTAGTTTGACTTAGCATTTTGTAACGTTTTTGTCTTTTTTTAAATTGTTCTTAAAAAAGTAGCCAAAAGATTTTGAATGGTAGCGCAGATAGGTGAAAACAATACATGTTTTGACAAAAGATGAAATTTTTCTTTCTCTATTTTTAAAAATTCAGGAGTGGTTTTTACATCACTTTTTTCCTGTGTGAATACTCCTGACTACTTCTGCATAAGCCAAAGAGTTTGCCTCTGTATGTCAGTTCAATTTATTTGCACAATTTCCCCTTTAGGATTCATGATTTTTCTCATGATATGTAAATTCCTATTGTGAAGACAAATAGGGTGCTATTCAAGCAGGCAATTGGCAATCAAAAAGTCAGAAATGTTAAAATTTTCTTGCCAAAGGTTTGAATGATTCTTATAAAAACAATCCCTGGGAAGGTTTATGCAATCAAAAGAGGAAGTAATTTAAATGGTGAGTTTATATGGTGATGCTGCCTAGGGAAAATTATGTTGAAAAAGTAACATCAAGGTAAAAACGAAATTCTAGACTCTCATATCACTGCTCACTGAAGAGGTTCTCGTGTCTCTAAGAAATAATGTGAAAAGATTATCATATTATTCTTTGCTCTGCAGCAACTACCTGTTATTTGCTGCAGAATACAAAATATGCCTTTGCTTTAATGATGACATTCTTCATCTATTTGCATGCATTGGGATAGGCAATCCTATCTGACATGAACATTGGAAAGTAATATTCAACATAAAATGTAGAATTAAGAATGCACACACACAAATCAGTAATGCTAACATTTTCTCTAGTAATGAATCCAGTGACAATTTCAGGATTCAGTAATTTGCAATACTGCCAGTTGATAAGAAGCCACATTTAAAATGCTCAACTAAAGGCAAATCACATGTTCCTTAAGAAAGAAAAAAACAAAAATATACATTTTTAGACTATAACTCTTTTGCTATATTGGTTATAGAATCTCTTTCTACTAAAATTAATCAGATGATAATTTAAAAAGGCCTGAGAGTATTTTACTTTGTCAAAAAATGTTCACATTTCCTTTATTTAAAGTCAAATTAGGACTTTGCCTAGTTCCTAATTAACAAAAGAAAGTACTGTAATATATCAGATGATGAAATGCTGGGTGTTTTAACTATATTCCTGTTAGCTAAAGATGAAAAGGATTTACCCTAACCTTGAAAGATATTTATGTCTGGAATATTTAAATGAGGTCTTCTCTGATGTCTTCTCTTTTCCAGGCAAACTCAGTACAAAAAACCAAAAAGATGAAAGAAATAGCATAGCTACTATGTTCTGTGGGGCCAGGAAAAACACGTAAATTCCAACTTCCTCTAAATATTTTATCAGAGATAATATACAGACACATATGTATGACTGTCTATATATGTGTATATATATAAATAGAAATATGTATATATATATATGTGTATATATATGCATACATGCATAATGCACAGACATAAACACAGTCATTCATGGACTTACTAGGATGTTGTGCAAATGCAGAAGGCGATTTGTTTTTGCCATAATGCCACAAAGCAGTATTTTATTATGGAAAGAAATATTAAAAAAAAAAAGGCCAGTCCAGCTAATTCTCTCTATAATTCTGTCTGAAGGAAACACATATTATCACTCTTAATATAGATTTTAAAATTCCCATTTTAAGAATCTCACTGACTCTTGGACACTGATTTTTCTATAGATGTGCCATTTTACCAGTACCTGGGATTCCCTTATTGAAACGTTCAGCCATTGCTTTTTTTCTTAAGAGATGTTGTTGTGGCAGAAAACAAAGCAATGTGCTTGATAAATTTAAAATGCTGTTGCAACATAGCGCTTATCAGCCTCCTTTCTCTTTGAAAGGTTGAGACAATCAGGAAAGGGATCAGAGAAATACTAGGAGGATTGTCAGGAAGTGGATTTAATGCACTTGTCCCTCTCATTGCTGTGTGCTGTCCTCAGAGAGAGCAGAGCTCTGCACACCTTCCTTGCAGGTACCCTGCTAAGTGAAGTGAGGCACTGTCCACCTAGACCCTACAGGGTTCAGTGAATTACACTGTGCAACTTAAGAACATATTCTCCAGTCAGGCTTTGTTACTTTTGATTCAAAGGTCTCCTGAAGAACTGCTTTGGGTACAAATCTCAGTATGCATGAAACACAACAATTCAAGACTGGTCAGCTGACAGCCAGAATACCTGGGTTGGGGAATAGATTCTGGTTTCTTGGCTCTGGGAGAGAGTATGCTGAGCGTGCCATGACCCAGAGTCGTGGGCTGGTGAAAATCCTCTGTCATCAGTCACACTGAAGCTTGGGGACGCCCACTGCCATAAATCAATCAATCAGTCAATCATTTATTAATCAGGTACTTGCATTTTCAAAGTTAATATAAAAATGGGCTCTAGACAATGCCTTCTCTATAATGATACTTTAGTTCATATTACCGAGGGGGGTTTATCTTAAATTAATTCATCCTTTTTCTAAGAGGGTGACATATTAATCTGAAAAAGCTTTTGCCAATTGTACAGAAATAAATTAAGCCCTGCTGAAAGATCAGCACTGCAAAGTACATATGCTCATGAATAATCTGAACACATGAATAGTTCCTTCAAGTCAAGCCACTATTTTTGAGGAATTATTATGCACTGGATTTAGAATTTAGATCTTTAATGTAAGGTTTAAGTTCTGCACAGACCTTTTCACTAGATAAATTTAACCTGAACCACCTTCCTTTTGGGGGATGTCTGACTGATGATAATAACCTTACCAGAAGAAAATCCAAATGATGTGTCCCAAGTTTACATGATTGGACATTGTAATTAACATTTTTAAAAGGTGAGTAGGTATATTTTATTTAAGAAAAGACTTTAGATTCTAAAAGTCCTTGAGACTAAGATTTTGAATTTTAATGCTGTCAATTTTCATGGAGCATTTATTCATAAAGGACTTCTCATAAAAGCCATCTTCTTCTTATTCTGAAAGTCACATGAAAATCAAGTCTTTTTCTATATCCACATGGCCTTAACTGCTAAGAAGACTTCAGGAAATTCTATGTATTTTTTCTAACCAATGACAGATGAGGCCATCTTCAGAGTGACTCCATTAAATGCCTATCACAAAAGTATCCCTGCTGTAAATGGCACAGTACAAGCTGAAGCATGACTGCCCTGAACAGCATCCCTGGTTTTCAACATTGGGTGCCATTTTTATTCAGATGGTAGACGAATGGGACAATCATTTCTAATATTCTGTGCAGAACAGAAACCTACCACAATAAACGGGAAAGAAAAATATTTTCTACAAATTCATCATGACCGCTACTTACACACTGGAAGACAGAGTAAGTGTAAACATAATGATAGAATGTAAACATATTTTGTTGGAGCCTGAGTGGTTAGGCAAAGCAAACCAATTACCAGAAAACATATTCTTCCTGACAGTTCCTCCAGCTCTTTAATACTACACACATTTAATGCTAATTGAAGCTTGTTTTTAGCTAATAAATTTTCTTTCATGTTAAGCTCATTCAGCACAACCCTTTTGCTCAAATTTCCTCATGTAATTTAACAAGCTATCTGTATTTAAGAGTAGTTGGTTATTTTCTTGAATACTGACATAGAAAAGAGTTTACCAGCTAATGGAAATTTCCTCTATTACAGACACACCTCTATTTTCTCAGCTGTCCCCAAACATTCAACCAGTGAACACCCGAGAGACTGGAGCAGGGACAGTGATACTGAGTCAAAAATAGGTGCCTTTAAAGAAGCCATGTAGCAGCTCTTAAGAGGCTAAGCATAAATAGGGCAGGATCTCTCATTCTGGATGCTGTAAGCAGCACTTATTTCTCCAGCTAACCCTATAATACAGGTTACCAATACACTTGAAGAGGAGGGGTGTACCAGGAGTCTGAAGCATAGGAACAAGCTGTGGGATACCTTCTGTACCTTGTTTTTCCGACGTGTTGAGGCACTGATCCACCCATGGGGCTTTGGGCCATGGGACCATAAAGGATGTGTGAAAATCAGATTTTAAGTAATTTAGATCAAACTCATGAAAACAAAGATAAATGATCATTTATGAATATATGTCTTGTTTGTAGAAAACAAAGTTTGAAAATGATGATACAGTCTTCGGGAAGCCATATTTCCTATACCAATGAAAAATGTAATCATCTTTCTAGAAATTAATCACACTAAATAATCTAATCACTGTCTATATGTGACTAAACCTGAACATTGTTTTCCTCTTGGTGGACTTTTTCAGACTAGATTTCTGTACCAGCTATTGCTTATAAATTAAGCAGTATTTCCAATGAGCTCTTGCATGATGAAGGACCTGCAACTTTTGGGGTGGCTGGCAACTCCTTCATTTGAAGATTAAATTAATTGCTTCCTCTTTGTCTGTTAAGCCTCCTTTTTTTTTTTTTTTTTTTTTTCTCTCTACAGTTTTAGGACCAAGAATATTTATGCATTTTTGTAATTTTTCCTTGCTGTACTGTGTTAGGATAGTGTCAACTCAACCACGTCAGGGAGCAAAGTTGATTTTTTTTTCCTCAAAGCACAAGCCTACAGAGGACTTTCCAGGACTACTGCCTCACTCACAGATCTGAAGGCTGTTTACTTTCTATGTCTTCTCCATGCCAGCCCAGCCTAAAGAGTCTGTGTGTCCCAGTAAAGACACAACACAGCTTCCATGACCTGGAAATCACTGGACACTGGACAGAACCTGCAAGTGCAGGGTACAGGTTGTGGCACAGCTTTGCAAACACAGTGCATAAGATATTGTGGACCTAAAGAGCATCCACACCAATCCCCAACTCTGGATTTCTGTCAGCGCAGTTTATCTTCTGCTGGCTGTAGGATGTTCCTCGCAATGTTGAAAATTAGAAAAATGAAAGAGGTTTTCATGTTTTGGTGATCCAGTCATACTTGGACTAAATATACTGACTGCTACTGTATCAGCAGTAAACATGTACTGCCTTCTTTGCCCATTAATACAAAGAATAATACTTCTATTCATTTTACAACTTCTTACTTTATTGAATATGTGAACATGTAGCTCTAAAATATACCACAATTCAAACTATTTGGTTATATTGTTTCTCAAACAGAAGATAAGTGTTGCTGCTTTCACTTAACTATAATGGGATGCTTGCAATTTCCTTGTATTACAATACAAAGTTGTGTCACTGTTGGCCAATTTTTTGAAAGCAATTGTATAGATACTTTGGTATATGGGAGCAAATTGCTGACGGTTATGCAATGGGATTTACCTGCACTTAAAAAAAAGGCTGGGCAAGTGCAAAATACTGCAAGTGCTGATCACATTACACTCTGTGTTCATTCATTTTTACTGGTACATATATATTTTAATGGGACAAAACAAAGATTGCAATAATCCAGTATCTTTATATTACATAAGTAGTGGACTATTAGTCTAATGCAAACTTCTCTAATTTTCCTATCATTAAACCATTGCCACTGCCTTCAAAACAATGGCTAAACTCAGACAGACAGCCTAAGTCAGCCTATTACATGCAAGTTTAATAAATATTATAATTTTATAAAGATTATTGTATGTATTTCAACAAAAAGGAGTAATTAAATTAACTATCTGAATGTTTTTATTAAAAGAAACCATATTTATACAAGGCTTAACAGCACATATAATAACATGTAATTAATATACAAATACGTAGCAGAGACTGATCTTCATTTTAAGATTTTGTGTAGGAGTTAAGTAATATAGATACTAATGCAATTCTCTTCCTGATATAATAGATGATCTGTCTGCCATGAGTGTCGGAAAGCTACCTCTAAAGTTAGCCTGCCCTATTTTCCATATCACAAGTATGCATTTGTGGCCATGGAAAATGCTGTTGTAAGCATGTAAGGTACTTAGCACCTGAGCATGCTTAGCATGTAAGTCCATCACCAGCAGTCACACCAGCAGCCAACAGTGTCCCTTAGGTAGCAGTAAACTCAGCAGCCGCACAGCACAAACATTATTACCTCCTGCATAGAGCAACCCCAGAAACTGCTTTTCCATCATGGCACATATATACAGACAGAAGCTTGGACATGAGCCAGATACTGTAAGAACCTCTAAGTGATTATGGTGCAGAACAGCTCAGCCTCTACAGTGCAGCCACCCACAAGCACAGAAGTCAGACTATGCACACTTCCAGTGTGTTACTGCCTTGGATCAAGAAAAGCCTGCTCATGTTCATTCCCACCTCTTAATGGGACAGTTGAGGACCAGCTTGTGACTTGGAACGTCTTCACATATGGTATCCCTAGGACTGCCAAGGATGACTGAAAATACTGGAAGTGAACAATGGGAGAGACTCAACAATCATCTTCCTCACTCCTCAGACTTGACACAAGCAGGGCTGAGGCATGCAAAAGAACAGCATTTCACACAGAAGGTCAGCTTCTGCCAGCTTGAGATTTGCTGCATACATTTCATGTAACTAAGCTATTTTCTTGCGCAGAATACATACAACACAGGCCACACACTGTGAACCTTCCCTACTTCACAATCCTTATGACTCAGCCTTAACTAGGGCCTGAACTGAAGATGCCACATGAAGTCTTAGCTTTCTCTGATGGGATTCCAAATACAAGTATCATTTACATAAGATGTGACATTCCAAGCAAGAAGACACAGAAGAACTAAATCTGAAGGCTGATACTCACACGGAACATAATTCAGTTTGGAAATATTCAGCAAGAATTACTGTAAATGTTTCCATTTACTAAGTAGACACTTGCATTAAAAAAGCTGTAAGGAATGTTGTTTCACAGTGTTATATTACTCTACTGCAATTAATTTCCAAGAGGTTAGCAGGCCTGTGGGAATGGCACGGTACTATGGACTCAACAGGCGAAAACCAAGTATATGATGCCACTGTCTGCTGGCTGATTAGAAACAAAGATACAGGTTTCTGCCCAGCTCCATATGGAGCTGGTCCCTAAGCACCTCTCCTTCAGATACTCTTGTTTACAATCTCATGAGGAAATTTGGGAGCTGAAGGGCTGGAAATCTGCTAATCTCCTCAGAAACACGAGGAGGCGTAAGAAAGACTGTTCTAGTAGGAGACCTTACGTACGTTTGTTCAATGAACAGAGGATTTCACTCTCCAGGGCTGTCAGATCCAGCACCTTTTGTATGAATTTATTTCAAAATCTAATTCACATCCACTTTTCACCACCACACACATTTTCAAAGGGCATTTTAATGTAAAAAGTAGAAGTTAAGGAAAAAAAAAGAACGCCAAGTATCTGAAACTTTAAACTCCAAGTGAATTTCCAGTCACATAAACAAATATTTTGGTCTAAAGTCTCTCAGCCCCCAAATTTGGATAACAGTATGAAAGATGATAAATCTAGAAAAAACCCAAGCCTTACCTTCTTGTAGAGACTTCTCAGGTCTCTGTACTGCCACATACTATTGAGGACCTGAGATGCTGCTTTCACCACTTTAGGCGAATGCCTGTTACACATGTACATTTAAAAAGGGAGAGAGAGAGAAAAAAAGAGTGAGAAAGAGACTGTTAAATAAAGGACACCATACATTCCAGTTTTCAGATGCATTGCTACAGATTTAAACTTTTCCATTTCTCACAAATGAAGCGTGTTTCAAGTATACTGTAAGATCTTTGCCTGGCATCTTGGAGACCAAGGTGTTTTTAGGCAAGGGCAAGATATCTTATCTCTATAGTATTAATCAATTAGTGAGGGGGAAAAAACTTTTGCATCTCAGAACACACAGGGATTTCTGCTGAGAGCATAGTAAGAGGAACAGGAGGTAACAATTGGCAAAATTGATGAGGACCCAACTGGCATTATGTACATCTAAGACATGCTACAACTTTTGGCATAAAGGACAATGAGACAGAACAGAATTTCTTTCTTTGCAAGCTGCTGAACTCTAGCTCAGCACAGTCTGCTCAACTCATTTAGCTCCTCTCAGTAGTGGCCAAAAGAAACTCCAGATGAGTGATAAGCACTGGTTTTGAAATGCAGAGCCAAGATACAGAAATACAACTGATTACAAAGTTATGATAAATTTCATTAGGAATCCAAATGTGGACTAGGATTTTGCTCACACCATTATCCTTTAATGACAGGAATACAATGGGGTGTTGAAAACCATGTAACTTCACATGGTATTTCTCTTCAGAGAAGTTTTGAAAGAAGATCCAAACTATGGTTACAATCAGCGGATGTCATATAATCCTGCTGGAATAGGTAATTTAAAAATCTAAAAAATAAAAAACCCAAAACAAAAAGGGGTCAAATAGAAAAGGACCAGGAAGCTAACCCAGCCCATTAAGGAAGCATACATTGTGCAGGATCAAAAATACACATAGAACAGTAGATTGCTAGAAAACCTTGCAAAGGCCAAAGTCCAGAGTGAGGATTGATGGAGTCTGGGGGAGTCATTGAGGTGATTTATGTTTTACTCAGAGGAGGTATATGGTTTGAAACATCAAAGACAAACCAGAAGACCAGCAACTGCTGGTTTGGGCAGAGGCCAGGCTTTGGTTCATTCTGTGACTTCTGAGAAGAATCACTGGTAGGCTGACGTGCAAGCTGGTAAAGCATTGTTATGACACAACTCATACATTAATACAATTCCCTAGTAATTTATTTGGTGCTTTTTTCCCACTTCTATTCCATTTCTCACTCAGAGTAGAGCAGTAGGTGGGTAATTGGTGAGTAAATGGGGTTTTGAAAAGCCCTTTCAAGCATAATTGTTTTTATTATACTTCCAGCTGTACTGGCTAGTAGGGTGCTGATAAGCATGGAGTAACCAGGAAAATAACTGTGCCAACCACTCCATGAGTAGTGAGGAGAGACAGGAGCTATGTGAAGCTGATATGGGCTTGGACAATATAAATAACCTTATGAACACCAGTTCTCTCATGTGGTCATACAGAGAGGCTGTTCAAGCCCTGGGCATATTCCAAAGGCTATCAGGGCCAGACTACTGGCACTAACACATACCAGGATGCATGGCCAGTTCAGTTTCCTGCACATTCAGAAGCAGTTGCTTCATACTGGACAAAATGACTTCATGCAGAAGTGATTTACTGTATTAAAGTGAGCATGTCAGAATTTTCTATCAGTCCAACAACTGGCAATTTCGGTTTTCAAACAATGAATTACCTGTAAGACACCAAACCAACAGCACACAGTACTGACACTTCTGAAAGCTGAAAAATGGAACTTTTACTTAAGATGGGCATTTGCAGCACTGTGTGCTGACAGCTTTTCTTGTTCTAGAACTGTGTAACCTGTAAAAATAATAATACGGGACTGCAGGTCAAAGTACTTGAGAGGAGGGATACATATTACGACTTGGAAGGGCATTTGGGAATTACTCTGCTCTAGATTAATTAGAAATAGATGTCTTTCACAGTTATGAGATATATTCAGAAAAGGAATTATGCCCTTCTATCCTCCTAAAACTGCCCATGATACTTCAAAAATTCCAGACTCAAGAGGTATTAGCATTGTTTACCAGATAATGAACAGGTAGACAGATGCACTATTCGGAGGAAATACACATTGAACTTAAGAGAAATGGATATGAACCTGCTTGCAATGTCAGTACATTTGATCTAGAAAATAGAAATAAAAAATTTAGGTAGATTCAGTAATAACAAACCGCAAATATAAATAAATTGGCAGAGCATGGGGAGCTCCCACAGCTCGAATCACATACTTGGTCACACTACTTTTTACGCCTTACAATTTGAATGCAAGAATGTTTCAATAATGAATTTGGTATGAAAGGAAAAGGGTGACAATAGAGGAAAAGAAATGCAATTAAATTATATTGGCAATGCTCCGATCACAGAGGCGAGCATAAGTTCTCATACCAAATGTAGGGTGCATAAATCTTTCCTTCAGGTTGTGGCCTGGCTTTGTGGGGCTCTTTAAGAGCTCTGATGCTGCAGTAGGCTGTGTGATGACAGCTCCGAGTAGCTGGACTGATGGGTTTTGTACACTACAGTGAAGGCTTTTTGTTTTCAAACTGCCATAGTCCCATTGCACTATACTTCATCAGCTTGACAAATATGAGAACCAGGCTATCTGTTTTAGGCAAAAGAAGGATAAAGAGTGAACTCTTTGTGAAGAGTGTGTACATAGCCAAACAGACAAGATGAAACTGTAGCTGTTCTGAAAATGTCACAGTTGTGTGCAAGACATTTTTTTGCCTCACAAAGCAGCCTAAAGGCTCTCTCATAAGCAACCAGTCAGAAAATCCATGGATCTACTACCAAGCTGGTGGCAGGGAAAAGGGTGCTGTGAAGAGGGATGGTGACTTTACATTCTTCACTCCTAGATGAAGAGAAGCAGTACCAGAACTGTGGTGAGGTCCTTCCTTTCAAAGGACCCCTCCACCTGTATGTCACTCCTTGTGCAGGGTGCAATCCAACCACTGTGATCCCTAATGTTTACTGGGATCTTCTGCAATTTCTTAGAGGTACGGGTTACTGTAGATAATTACTTTTCCTTAAAATGCATATGGACTGCACTCCCTGCACTGAGGATGGCACATCAAAAATAAACCAAAGCAGAGGGAGACTTTTGGTATTGGCATTGTCTGTTTCTTGTCACCCTTCGCACTGGGCCACGTGATATCTGTTGAAACTAAAGGATTCAACTTGCGATTGCGCAGAGAAGGCAAACACATTCAGGACTAGTAATAACTGCTGCAGAGGTTAAAAAGGTGCAAGGTGATTTGCAAAACATACTTGTCTCCTTTACTCTTAGATATGCCAACCAGTTTCTCAATGCCGCCTGCGTCCCGTAAGGCCTTGGCATTCTCCATGTTTTTAGTGATGACTTCGTGCAGAGTGCAGCAAATGGCAGTCACGGTGTCATCAGACATGGCCTTGCTCGCTGAGCTGTTGCTGTTGTTAGCGCCTGGCAGTCGGTGGACCAGATCCCTCATGGCATACTTGCCTTTGTTGAAAGAAAACGAAGGGACAATTCAGAAGATACAGCAATAAAGGGTGAGGGAGCAGTACAGGGAAAACACGCAAGACTAACAGCACCATTTGCATCATCGCAGGTAATTTAACTGGATACTGATGTTAATTTGGAGCAAGTGATATTTACATGATTGCACGTTCAAGCATTTCACACATTACAGACTCTGTTAATACTTCCATACTGCATCAGAGGCTTCGGATATGGCCACATCACACCCGTAAGAGAACGGAACTGTGACGGTAAGGCCAAGTATACGCACAAAGATAATCTGAATACCACAATTCACACAACTTGGCAAGTCCTCATCTCCCAACAAACAACTCACAGCTTGTTACCATAAACTGAATGTGCATCAATTGTTAAAACCACAGCAGTGAATGCAAACCCAGTGATGTTGTTATTTGCAAAAAGGTCTTCTCTGAAGACTTCTCCCCTGTACAAGGTTAATTCTAATCTACATGCAACAATTTAAATGGGTTTAGTGGTGTTTCTTAGACTGTATTGCTCAAGAGGATGCCATCTTTTTCACACATCCTTAGTTGTATGCATGGTACTGGCCAAAAAAGGAGTCTTTCTAACATCTATTCCAATCTGGCATTTTGCAAGGATTTCCTGAATAAAACACCAACCTCCACAACTTAAAGTCTCCTCAAATGAAAAGAATTTTTAAAATGGTCACATAAAACATTTAAATAAAAAGAAATTCTGTATAAAATGTTGGGCTTGATGATCTTTTCAACCTAAGTGATTCTAAGATTATTATAATTTTTTTCATGCTTAAATAAACAGATTTCTTTTTCAAAATTGCACCTAAAAGTCATGTAGTGCTTGTGAAAATAACAAAAAATCAGTTTCTGAGAATCTATCTATCTATCTATCTATCTATCTATCTATCTATCTATCCATCTGGCAGGATTAGCAGCACAGATACACCAGATATATGGCAGCACAGATACACCAGAAGCCTCACATCAGTTCTAGAAGATTGTTATTATGGTGACTGCTCAATCCTTCAATGTGATAAAGAGAAGATCAGAGAAGGTGAAGGCCTGATGAAATTATTACTGAGGTCAGTGAAACAACTCTGAATCACCTTCAGTGCAGATGTGCTAAGAATTTGCATACAGCAATCACCATGAGTGTTTCATGCAGGATGAAAAGGACAGGAAAATTGGGAAATATAAACATAATTAGTAATCTAATCTACATTACATTTTGTGAATGATCAGGTATGATTATTGTATATAATATGGTAATTTAATCAGATTTTTTTGATAACTTAAAAATGTTTACACTTAGTGTTTATGCATACTTATTAAAAATCTTATTTTTGAATTCATAAATTCAGTTCTTTGTATCCATATCTGAAAGCAGAGGCAAGAGGAAAAACACATCTTTTAACTATCAGATATTGAATCATTTTTATTTCTCACAGTTTTGCCTGATGTGGTGGAACTACAATCAGTCATTTGAACAGAATATTCATAATGCATATAAAAACTTAAATCTCTGTACTGAACTGTTAAAGATTATCAAATAGATTTTTGTGGTAATGCGAAGTGTTAGAAAATACTCAGTCTATATTATGTAAAAACATTCCTGATTATAAAAAGCATTAGACTGTGTACAAAATGTGTACAGTAGGATTTGAATCTTTCCAGTGTGCTGCAATACAAATACAAATCCTGTCCTCAAACATTTTTATTTCTTTGAACTTAATATTTAATTAACTTGCACTGTAATGATTTTAAGCAATATTATTAATATCAGATGTAGAACAGTTTTTAGCACTTCTTTCTCTTTCAGAAATGATTTGTTTGAGCAAACTGAAAATCTTCCTTTTCCCCACACATTTATGAAACAAACTGCAGGAAAGTCTGAAATGCTATTTTCACCTGCATCTGGTCAGTTCTGTGGAACATGAACACATTAATAGCTGTATATCACTTACAGTGAGTACTTCAGTTTGCAACACATATCAAATTAAGCTGGTGTTTCAAAAAATAAACTATCACTTGATGTAGCTTTTCCTCCTCCAGTGCAGTGTCTGCCACTGGTTGGGAATAAGTACAAGTGGATAAATCAGATCAGTGAGACTTTTCTGCTTTACTCTGTGCGCACACCCAGACTAGACCAAGATTCCTTTTTCTTTTTGGACCTCACTTAAATTGCAAGAGAGCATCTCAGCACCTCAGTCCTCTAGTGGAATCAGTTCATGATGATAATTTCATTAGCAGCCAAAGATTACATCCCAGAACAGTGGATGTAAGGAAATCTGGATGGCTGCCCCAAGCAGATTTCTTTCCTGGAACTGGTCTAGTATTCCAGGCAGTAGTATTCACACCAGTACACATGCCTAGACATGCAAGATGATTCTCACAACAAATAAAGGCTTTGGAGCTATCAGGGAAAGCTCAGTTGGAAAAACTTAACAGACACAATCAAGCAGGTTATAAGCATTCTGGAAATGCCAATGCTCAGCAGTTCTAACATTTCTGCTGTGCACACCCTTCAGTAAGGCACGAGAAGAACAAGTCAGCATTAAATAGTTCAAAACAATAAAACAGGCATTTTATACATAATGTGTAACAGTGGGATAGTACAGCATTCCTAATTCTGAGCAGTTGTAGTAATTCTAGCCCAATATTACCATTCAATTCTTAATCACAAGCATATTTAAAGTAAAATATATTCTGAGTGGGTTTGGTAGGATTTTTAAATTGCTTTCCTCATCTTTCTCCCCCAAGAATTGCATCAAATTTAGCCTTTGGATAGCAAGTACCAGAAGACTCACATTTTGTAGATCTAAAATCTAGAGGCTGTATTTCATCTGTGGCAGCTGTGCAAGCTGGTGTCCAGTTTGGACACCTCCCTACCAGAAGCTGTAATGCCAATGCCAGCCCCCTTGCCAGGAGCTGCCTGTTGGGGATACAGGCCTCCCTCCTCTCCCTGCCCTGTCCCCAGGAGGCAGCAAAAGGCAGAACTGCTGCTTCCAAAAAAGCTGCTCACCCATGTGGGTACAGCAACTGACCACAGTCCAGCAGGCATCATAGTCAAGGACAACAAAATGTCTTTCCAGAGGTTCACCAAACACAGGTGGCACACCAGCTGGAAGAAGGAGGGAGTGGCTGAGCTACAGAGTTGATCCAAGTCACTGTTTACGTTGGTCTTAGAACCTATTAAGGAGTGTAACTGTTAGTCCATTTTCTGTGGTTTAAGTACTTCAAACACTGTGTTAGCTATGTAAAAATGTACTGAAAAAGCAGGGAATTTGCTTTAATACAGAATTGGGCCATGAAATTTGAAAGTCAAGTATATATAAAGTACGTTCTTTATATTGCAAGAAGTTTTTCTAAAACTGTACATATAGTTAGTTAATAAATCTCTGTAGGACATGCACAGAAAAAAACCCCATTAGTTATTGGTTAATTTCTCTTATCTCAGTTATTCTCCTACTTCTTCACTACAGACATGAAGAAGAGTCATGTTTTCTACCACCAGCTATAGAAGAAACCTTGCTCTACAGTGGTGTGAAGGTGAAGTCCTCCCACAGGTACTGTTGCACCAGCCCAACACAACTGCGATCCCTGACTTCTGCACTGGTGTGTGTTACATTCTGCAGAGCATTTGCACTTAGAAGTTTGTTTGTCCATGTTAGGAGCCTCTTCTGAAAGCAGACTGAAATGTGTAATGGAAACCAGTTTTGGAATGTCAGCAAAATGTTATTTAGCACTACTGTTATCTAGCACCACTATTATCTAGCACCACTAGTAGGAGAGCTGAGCAATTCAGCTTGCAATACAAGAAGCCTCCCTGAATGGAAGAAATGAGAACTGATGGGGATGCTGGGAAGAGAGGCAGATGTGTGTGAGGATTATATTAAAATTAAATAGCCTTGTTAATTTTCATTAGGGTCCACGCAGAACTACTTTAATCTACAAACAAATTGATTTTTTAAATTTATTTTTTGTATTTGAACAACATTACACACTGTAAGACCCAAAACTGATTTGAAGCTTTTAAAGAGGATTTACATAATATGATTAAACATAGCCAACAGCTCAACAAGGAAATATGAAAATGTATTTATTTGTCCAATTTTACTCTTAAAGGAAGTAAGAAAGACATACAATAGACATAATAGGAAAGGGGTTATCTTGTGGGTGCTTGGAAGAGCATTTTTCTGATACTATACATTTAAAAGTTATTTTTCTAAGATAAGACATCCATCATTTTCATATTAAGAAGGTGATTCATCTAGCACCATCCACTAAGTCTTTGACTGTAAGAGGATAGCATCTGCTTATTATTTCAACAATGAAGATTTAATGTCTTTTCCTTTGCATGATAAAAGCCTCAGCACCTTAATACCTGCCTCCATTACTTAATTCAGGAAAATTTTCACATCAGAGGATCAAATAACTGTCCTAAGAATGATTCTGCCCTCAGAGCCAAACAGCAGAGCAAACTATTCTTCTGGTAGATTAAACCAGAGCAAAATCATCACAGATAAGGTTCTACTTCTGGAAATACTTTCCTAGTACTGCCTTGAGACAATTTCACTGCTGTTGTAACATTGTTGAAACCACTTCCATTTTCACTCATCTCTGAATAATGTCTTTGACACATTGGCAAATTTATTAAATAGTTGTGACATGGTTCCTAGTTTGAGAGTACAAGATTAGGAAAACTGACCTATTAAAGAAACAAGACGCCCCAAACAGATATTAATTCCAACACAGACCCCTGTCCTAGAGATAGATCTTTTTCAATAAAAGTAATTGTTCACTATTCCTCCCCTCCAAAGATATCCATTAATTCATATAATGTAGCTAGCTAATATAAAAATGGCAAAATGCCACCGTACTTTGTTGTAAAGGCACAGATATTCTATCCCAGAACTACTGGTGCCTGTATGTCAGAATATATCTGAATTTTGTTCTCTTCATGCTAACATGTGCACTCCACTT